AATAGGAAGTGGGGCAGGCTAGAATGTCTCAAAACCCCTGTGAACCTCTTCGTCCAGCTTATTTTCTGTAAGACTTCAACACAAATCCTCGAGTCCTTACCCTCTCTCCTTGGGGAGCAGGGTTGGTTTCCTTTTCTCCACATCATTCCCAGCATGTACTGTCACTTGAGTTTTTGATCTTTGCCATTCTGATGGGTGTAATCTCAGGGTTGTTTTGATTGGCATTTCTCTGATGACTAAGGACATTGAACATATCTTTAAAAAAAGAAAAAGTGGGGAAGAGCCTAGAACTCATTGGCACAGGAGACAACTTCCTAAACAGACCACCAAACAACAGCACAGGCTCTAAGATCAACAATTAATAAATGGGACTTCATGAAACTTGAAACTAAAAAGCTTTTGTAAAGCACAGGACACTGTCATCAAAACAAAAATGGCAGCCTACAGACTGGGAACAGATCTTCACCAACCCTATATCTGACAGAGAGCTAATATCCAGAATATATAAAGAACTCAAGAAGTTAAAAAGCAACAAATCAAGTTGCTTAATCCAATTAAAACATGGGGTATAGAGCTAAACAGAGAATTCTCTGTAGAGGAATACAGAATGGGAGAGAAACACTTACAGAGATGCTCAATGTCCTTAGTCATCAGGGAAATGCAAATCAAAACGACCCTAAGATTTCACCTTACATCCATTAGAATGGTTAAGATCAAAAACTCAAGTGACAATAATGCTGGAAAGGATGTGGAGAAAGGGGAAGCCTCCTCCATTGCTGGTGATAATGTAAACTTGTACAACCACTTTGGAAATCAATCTGGTGCTTTCTGAGACAATTAGGAATAGCGTTTCCTCAAGATCCAGCTATACCACTCCCAGACATATATCTAAAATATGCTCAAGTACACAAAAAGGACATTTGCTCAACCATGTTTGTAGCAGCTTTATTCCTAATAGCCAGAATCTGGAAACAACTCAGATGTCCCCCAACAAAGGAATGGATACAGAAGTTGTGCTACTTTTACACAATGGAATACTACTCAGCAATTAAAAACAAGGGAATTATGAAATTTGCAGGCAAATGGTGGGATCTAGAAAAGATCAGGGAATCTGCGCCCACCCACGACAGTGCCAGTACCCGAAACCCCTCCTGTGCCTGCACCTCCCCACCCCACATTCCAGGCATCTACACTCTCTAGCACCCTGTCCTTCAAGTCACACTTCCACGCACATGCACACACACACACACACACACACACACACACACACACACAGCTTGCTCTCCTGCACTTGTGCAACTGCACCTGCAGATCTTCCTCCTTATGTAAAACTGAAACACCAACGCACTCTCAAACCAATGGACCTCTCACGTCTTCCAGATGAATACTCCAAACACCAGTCAAAGACAGACCTAGTCTGAAGCACAAACTCCAGGAACAAGCAGTGACGCTTATAGATAAGCAGATGGCCAAAGGTTGGCCTAAGAACACACCCAACAAAAATCAGGACATCATGGCTTCACCAGCAACTCCCAAAATTAATGGATATTTCAATTCATCAGAAACATAAGAAAATGATTTTAAAGCTATGGTTATCCAGTTATTAGAGGCACATAAAGAGGAAACAAAAAAATCTCTCAAAAGAAATAGCCACACAAATGGACGCAAATAATGAGGAAATGAACAAAGCTCTCAAAGAAAAAAAGAAAAAAAAAACTTATTATATTATAAAAGAAACATCACTCTAGAAACACACAAGACCAGCAATCAAAAGGGATAATTAAGGGATTTTAAATAATAAAACAAAACTTTATGGGATAAATTGACATTAAATTTTATTTAATTTTAAATAAAGTAAATTTAATTAAATCTATTGATTTACATTTAAATTCTAACACATAGGTATTTATGATCAGGTCAATACTGAAAACTGTCTCTATTATCTTTGCAAATGGCAAATATCAAACACATACAGTCTGATAAACTGAGCAAAAAGTCTGGTATGTGTTTACATTCAGTTCTGGGTGAATGATTAATCAAGGACAGAAAAAAGAATTAACTGGAGATGGGGTGGATATGACAGTTCAGCAGATAAAAGCTCTTCCTACCAAGCTTAAAATCCTAAGTTGATTCCTAAGATTCATATGGTGGAAGAAGATAAGCAATTCCCTGAGTTATTCTCTGAACTCCACATGCGTGCCTAGCATCACATGCAAATGCATGCACTCACATAAATAAATGTAACAACAATTAGAGTATAGACATAAAATGTTACTTAGAGATATACTGAAACACTGTATAAAACTAATATAGAGAAGTCTATATCTATCTATAGATATAGACTATATCTGTAGTCTGTATCTATCTATCCATAGATCTGTTTCTATATATAGCACCTATATATATGGCATCTATACCTATCTATGAACATATACATAGGCTAGAGAGAGAGGCAGAGAGGGGAATGGATTTATTAGAATGGCTTACAGTATATGGTTCAGCTTGCCTTGACCAACTTGTCTATCAACCTAAGGTCCAAGAATTCAGTAGTTGTTCAATCCATAAGGCTAGATGTCTCAGCTGGTCTTCAGTATATGCCACTGTCCTGAAGAAGCAGACTCTACTATCAGTGAAAGTATGCATTTGCTAGTAAGAGCAAGAACAAGAAGAGAGAGCAAGCTTCCTTCTTCCAGGTCCACAGGCTGCCAGCAGAAGGTGTGACACACATTAAAGGTGGATTTTCCTATCTCCAAAGAGCTGGATTAAAGATGTATCTTCCCACCTGAAAGATCCACTTAGAAGTGGGTTTTCCCACTTCAATTAACTAAGTAAAAGAAAAATCCCTCACAGGTGTACCCAGACATTTGAGTTTTAGTTAATTCCATATGTAATCAAGAATAGTCATCACAATCTGTAAGGACAAAACACTGCATAATTCTCTGGCTTTCCCTGTAGCTCTAGAGTCTGTGCTTGCAACTCTGCCACCCCTCCAAATGCCCCCTTCCCCCCCCCCCCCCCACCTCTACCTCCTCAGCTGCTGGGAATATAAAAGCCTGGGCTCGCAGGTCTGGCTAATTCCATGGCATGTACAATAACTCCTGTTGATCTTAACCAAAATAAGTTTGACCTAAAAAGAAATATGCAAGCTGAGGGCTCAGCTTAGTGGGTAAATGCTTGCTGGGCAGATATAGAGTTTGAATCCCACAATCTGGACACAGTGGCATTTATCTGTAATCCCTGCCTGCCTGTGAAAAGATAGGACAGAAACAAGAAAACACATGGAACTTCATGGGCTTTCAGGCCTGTCTTACATAAGGTAAGAAGTAAAGATTAACACTAGAGGTTATCCTCTGAGATCTGTACATATTCTTTATATCACATGTACCACACACACACAAACACACATTGGGGGTGGTCAACTTCATTATACAGTTACATAGTCTCTTACAAAGCCAGATCTATGAAAAATAGAAAATAGAATGGTTGATATTATGGGCAGGACAGAAGAGTATAGACTGATGCAGATTAGAGAGCATGAAACTGAAGATGTGTAGAAAAACTATGTCCAGAGTTCTAATGCACAGTGGAGGATTCCAGTCAGTTAAACCATTTTACAGCATGGTTATGCTGTATAATGGAAACTGTCTAAGCCAGATTTTAGGTGCTTCTAACTATGTGAAATGCTGTGAGGTGCACTGTCAACTTGACTGGCTCTAGAGTTACCAAGAAGACACAATTCTGGGTATGTCTGTGAGGATATTTTCAGAGGGTTTAATTGAGGAAGAAAGAAAGAACTACCGTAAATGTTACTGGCACCATCCCAAGCCACGAGGTCTCAGACTGAATGAGAAGAAGAAGAAGAAGAAGAAGAAGAAGAAGAAGAAGAAGAAGAAG